TCAAGGTTTCTCCAGGAATTCTCTGTCAGTGTACTTTTACTGTTCTTTCTGTTACTAAATTTTCTGCTTCTTTAGCTTCAATTCCAGAGCCCAGCCACCTTAGTTCATATGCTTGCTCTGTCATTTCTTAGCTTCTTAACCTCAGTTGAGTTGCTCAGACTGTCTCTAACAGTTTTCTCCTCTGTGAGATGGGAACAGATCTTACTCTAAAGAGCTGTTAGATTGATAAGAAGCTCACATCTATAAAGCCTTTAGAGTAGTTTTTTGCATGTAAGAAGTATTCAACCACTGTTAGTCATTGCTGTTGTCGTCATCATCAAAATTTAAGATTTTGACTTTCTTTAAAGCCACTGTGGACTTAAGACATCACTCGTTCTATAGCTCATGTAGATATTGAATATCACTCAGTATGTAAAACATAATATGTAATACTTTTGCATAGACAATCCATTCTTGAATTTTATTTGTATGTATTTCATATATTTTCCACAAAAAATGAAAAATCCACATTAATTGGAAGATAATCATAATCTCATGAAAAAGCATAAGAAATTAAAATTAGAGGCTGATAATTTGCTCCAAATACCTTTACGTGGATTTGTCAGAAAACGTAATTCAACTGAATTCATCCTTACCCCTCTCTTGTGATTTTTGTGCAAATAAGAACTCTTCTCAGGACCCCTTGGTGAAATGTATTTTCATTTCAGGAACAGTTGACATTCAAGGATGTTGACATAGAATTCTCTCAGGAGGAGTGGGAATGCCTGGAACCCGCTCAGCAAGCCTTGTACAGGGACGTGATGTTGGAGACCTACGGGAACCTGCTCTCCCTAGGTGAGGATAACTTCCCTCTAGAAGTAGGGATCTTCCCTTGGTATCCTTGCATTTCCTTTGTGTGCCTCATTTGAGCTGGTTTTCCTTGACTGATACGAAATCCCTGTTGACTCAGATGTGAAACGCTTCATGATATGGCATCAGGAGTATAAACCTACCTTTTCTTACGATGCTCTGTGCACTTCATGATCCATCAGGGGTTGTTCCAGAGCTCATGTAGTTATGGCAAGCTTTTGATATACCCACTTTCCCATTTTCTACCCATGGGCTTTTGATTGTGGAGTTCTAGGAAAAGAACTATGTTTCTGCATATTATACTGTTTCCTGTGTATTCAGAAGGAGGCAAGTAGTGGATGAATTTTTTTTTTTTTTTTTGCGGGACGCGGGCCTCTCACTGTTGTGGCCTCTCCCGTTGCGGAGCACAGGTTCCGGACGCGCCGGCTCAGCGGCCATGGCTCACGAGCCCAGCCGCTCCGCGGCATGTGGGATCTTCCCGGACCGGGGCACGAACCCGCGTCCCCTG